GCTGACGGTGAGGAGCTAGCTGCTGCTGCTGCTGCTGCTGCTGCTGCTGCTGCTGCTGCTGCTGCTGCTGCTGCTGCTGCTGCTGCTGCTGCTGCTGCTGCCCTCACCAAAAATCGCGCCCGTTCATTGCTGAGGCAGACGGGCAGGCAGCAGGACCCGCCGCCCGAAGTTGTGTGGGCTTGCGCACTGGCGCATGGCGAAAAGGCAGAAACTCGTGACAGAAATGAGGAGTGGAAAATAACAGCAGAGGAAATGATACTTACTTTTCCGCGGTGGGCGCTGCATGACGCGACACATTGGCAGCGGTCTCGCGTTGCCGGTCCGCCGGTCCGACACTGCGAGACTCGTTGGGCAGGGAGTCGCGCGACCTCTGCGCAACCACGCGTGCGGGCGAGACGCCGTGGCCGCCGTGGCTCATGGACTCGGACGGCAAGTAACAGTCGTGCATGCCCTTTGCGCAGTTCTTGCACGGGGCGCGACCATTCTCGTAGACGCACTTGGTCTTGCCTTTGCGGCAGCGGACGCAGGCGCCGCCGGCCCTTTGGGACTCGTCAGTGATGGGCGCCTTGGGAATGAGCGGCGATGAAGTTGTGCTGTTGGCGGCGGCGGCGGCGGTGGTGGTGGTGAGGGTGACGCGACGAGGAGAGACTTACCGAAGCGCCGTGCTGCGCACGACAGAAGCCATCGCGGACGACCTTGTTGGCGACAAAAGGAAATCAAGGAAATTAAAAAGAGGTAGAAAGAATGAGAGGCGACTGGGCAAGAGATTGGCGCGTGGACCGAGAGGGATTTGTTTGTCGCTGCCCGGAGGCGTTGAGGCCGGAGGTTGAAGGTTTGGAAAAGAAGGAGTCTGGGGGGATCGGGCGGGCGAAAAATTCGGGTGCGGTTGGAATTTGAGAGTGATCGGGGTCGGGGTGGTTGCTGCACACGGGGAAGGTGGAGAAAGGAGGATGGGAAGGAAAGAGGGCGAGGACTCTGTCGTGGTCGGGGCGGTGGGCGGTAAAAACTCAGGGACGGCCTCAGGACCTGGGGGGCTACCCGAGGACGGGGGCAAGCGAGGATGGGATGGAGGAGGACAAGAGGAGGAGCACCGACGGCGCGCGCGGCCAGGCCCAAGCATTGACGTGAGCGGCAGGCGGGCTGATGATGCCGGCGAGTGCGAGAGTGGACAGGCCTGGCACTTGGCCCCGCTGGGGCAGCCCGCCCGGCCCCTTTGGCGCCACTGTGCCAAACGGCGACGACCAGAGACGGCCAGAAGACGGCAGCTGCTGCTGGAACCGACGCCGTCGAGGGGGGGTTGAATGTTTTTTTTTTCTAATTGTCGGTTCGTCCGTCTATCTGCCTCGTCGCGTCGCCGTCCTCTTTTTGTCATGCTTTCCCAACCCAAAGCCTCGCCGCGAGGTTGAGCCAACCTAGGAAAACCAAAATGGAGGCTTGCGCGATTCCCACACGCGCGGCGCCGTCTGAGACGGCCGACAGCTCCGGCTGGGCCCACACGACACGGTACAAAAGCAGCTCCCCAAAACAGCGTCAGGCAATCTTCCGACGCGACCGTCAATCCTCGCCAAGAACCCGCCGGTCGGACCACCACCACCGCCACCACATTTATTTCCGTGTGTCTCCTTTGTTTTGTGATGCCACATCACTCTTGCCCCAGGGGCACATCTTGAAATGCCACATGTAAGAATATTTTCCAGATAAGAAAAAAAAAAAAGAAGTAATAAAAAAGCAAATGAGAATTCATCATCCCCATCCTCCGTCTCTCCTGGCCAGGGTGCGGTCGCGAGGGATCGAGGGCGGTGCGGCTGCTGATGCTGCGGTCGGGCGCATTCCGTCGGCTAGCCGCCACCCCTTGTCTTGCCCATTCTCAGTCGAAGCAGCAACGCCCGCCGGGCCAACCAACAGCCACGGCCAAATGCACACCACCAAAAAAAGGAGAGCAGATCCCAAATCCAATCGAGAACGGGGCAGCTGGTGGTCAGAGGGGGCAAAAAGGAGCGACGCTCAACTGCGCGGCATGCAGCCTTGGTTTCATTTTGTTAGTTCCCTCTGCTCTGCGCGCGCGTGCGAGCGCTGAGGCGGGGGCACAGTCGCGGCGGGAGTCGTCGTGTCCCCCAAAGAGCAAACGGCCGTCTTGAAACCCGGGCGGGGAGTCCTCGGGTCTTCCGGAACAGGGGGTGGTTGGGGATGCCTGCTCCATCCAGCTGTGAGGGAAATGACCGCCCGGAACGCCGGACTCGTACGGTCCATGTGTCGCCCGCCCTTTGTCGCTTGCCTGCTTTTGTGCCCTCCTCGCTTCCGCCCCGAGGTTGCCACCCCTTTCGTTACCCCATTCTGCTTCGATGTGTTTCTGTCGTGCCGATTGTAGTATCCGTCTGTATCCCGTAGTTCTTCACACCCATGGCTGATCCGACACATTACCAAATACAAAAGCAAAGAGAAAAAGAAGAGACAGAAAAACCTGCAGCGCCGCAACCCCGAGTTGCCCAGGCCACCGGCTGGCCTTGCCTGCTGCTGGACGGGCAGCCGGTGGTGTGCGACAGGAACCACCTAACGCGCTTTGGGGGATGCAGATGACGCAGGCTGTGAGCAGGGGGGGCTTTCAGCCTGCTGCGCCCGGCGAGCCAACATGGGATACCAGGCACGGTGGAATGCCCGTCCCCTCTGCTCACCCTCGGGGCCCAGCACCCCAGTTCCTGTCCGAGTTTGTTGTGCAACCATGCCATCCTCACGCACTTCACGGACCGGGTCGGTCTGACATGATTCGCCCATAGGCGTCTTATTGGGAAGAGGCCCTTTTTTTTTTTTTAACCCAGAGCAGAAAGAAAAGAAGCACAATCAAGAGAACCAACGGGGGCACGGAGGCCTCGGTTCTGTCTACCGGCCGGATGCGACCAGCAACCGCTGGTTGGCCCAAGGGCAAAAAGGAGGAACTGAGGGAGGGAGGGTCCCGGGAACGCCTCTCGGGCTGGCTCCGACTCACGCCAAGCCATGTTCCACACCTTCCGTGCCCTCAATCGTCAAACGCCGAGCAATCTCTTCACGTTTTTTATTTATTATCTCGTTTGTCTGCCGTCCATCAAAACCGCTCGGCTGCTTTCCGTTACTGCGGCCGATCCTCCACCCCCCAGCCCTGCCGACGTCTCCGTGCATCCTTTCGCCCAGTGACCTGCCGTCTCCACTCGAATAGAGTCAGCCCTGAGGATGGTGACGATTGACCATGTCGCAAAGGAGCAGGCGGGTGGCGAGTGTCTTGGTTGTCCCCCGGTTGCCCGACCCGCCCCGTGGCGCCAACCCTTCTCGACACACCCGTGATGTGGGTAACCAGCGGGTATTGGCGTGATGAGCACATCCGGCACAGATGGGGCAGCCGAGCACCAGACGACCGGGCAGCCGTTCCGTCTGCTGCTCTGCCTTGGCCTTGCACTAGCAGGTCACGCACACTTGCTTTTCGTCCCAAAGCGATGCTTTTTTTTCTGTCTTCCACCTAGTCGCTATGTGCCGAAACGGACTGCTCGTGGCCTCAATCCGAAAACGATAATAGGCCCGGCGCTTTATGCTGAAAGACGGAGTGTGCCCCGTCTCGTGCCATATTGCCGGGGCCGAGGTCCGTTTTCGTCCTCCTCTCGCCGCCATGTGTTGCTAGCGCACCACACGTGAACAGGCCTGCCCCCCCCCC